TATATATATATATAACACAAGGATTAGTCACCCGACCTATTGTTCAGGTGAGCTCACATTTCAGTCTTGGAAGTTTCGATTAGATCCATCAGACATGATTCGTATAAGCGTCGGAATCGGGCGTGGGGATAGCTTGACTAAGTGAGGAAAAGTTGAACTAGTTGTAAATTTTGCCCAATTTATCCCTTTTTCTCTCTGTTTCCAATTCCAGGTTTTCAAGTTCAGTCCAGACAAAACCCAACTGATGGTTTTGGGCGAGAAGTTTAAACCTGGAAATGATTCGGGACACTTTTGTAAACCAACTCATGTTGCAGTCGCATCCACTGGTGATTTTTTCGTCTCTGACGGGTCAGTAAAAGTCCACTGTTTGAGCATCAACATTGTATCCACAGATGTATGCATGCATGCATGATTTAGACAAATAAGAGGTTCCTCGAGGAAGTAGAGCATCAATGCCGCCATTCTAGATCCAAAACAGCACTGTAGTATTCTACGACAGTTCATTAGCGATTAACTTTTGGTTGGATGGCTTCAAGGAGGTCGCTTGTGCAAAAATTATCTTGCCTCAGAAGAACAAAAAACATATGGCTTGTGCCAGGGGACGACTGTAACGCTAGGAGGATCATTTAGTGGCCTCTTCGATGTACCTTGGTGATGAAGTGAAGCATAGGCCGGATTATCTTTTACATTTAAAAAACAAACTTTTGAAAAATAACAGCTTTCAGTATAAAAACTCCGCTTTTTTCATATTTTGTTCTATCCATGGTCAAAACTAATAGACCATTTCTGCTGTGTCACGAATGATGTGTCGTGGCTGCTGTCTTGAATCTAGATGTCGTTTGCCTGAGTTAACAGTTGGACATGCAGGGTGAACAAAAGTCACCCCCTGCAACGAACCACTCATAAATTTGGGAGGCTTTGGAAACCCGAATGGTCCACCGATGGATAGGGTGTTGGATCTATACAGTTCTCAGAAATTACATACGACAATAGACCATGCTCAGTCTATTTTGGTTCCACTGGTTTGTAAGGTACGGAGCAGAACAGCTACCTGACCTAACGAAAAGGCCAGATTGACCAAACGGAACAGGACGGCTACCAGATCGCCGTTTGCATCGTCTTTAAAAAAATCTTGCTGGAAAGTTTTTAGTCCTGACTACTTAGAGATTGCTTTCCAAAAGTTCAGGGGAATATGCTTTCCCCAAATGGTCGGAACTCATAATATTCCCACACCACTAGCAACTAATGCATTGTTCCAAACCGATTCCAGATATTGTAACAACCGAATAGTGAAGTTTCGTTCTGACGGTACGGTAATTACTCAATGGGGAAAGAAAGTTCGAAGTAAGTCCCGTTTGAATCAACACTTACAAATTGCCTCTGAATCAGAACTGCTTTTCGAGTAGTACTTGCTGTGTGCTGTGTAAATCTTTAGTTTACCCGTCAAATGCTGGGTCGCACAGCTTTTGATGACATTCGTTTACACGTAACTTACGTGCGAAAACGATAGTAGTTGACCGCATTTAGGGAGAACCTAGTTATCTGTTCGCCAAGCTTGGCAGTTTCATCACCAATCGAGGTGACATCGTCAGTGCAGGGTTGAGTGGGTGAATTCCTCCTCTTCTGCATGTGATTATATAGCTTCTAAACAGTATCAGATAGTTCTAGGAACGGTGGTCGTGTAGTTAGATTGGTCTCCTGTGAATCTGACGTGGTCTCAATCTCCTGCGTCTGGTTGGTTCGTTGGGTGCATTCAATTCGGCAGCTCTGTATGTGGTTGTTCTGCTGTGATTCGGTCGTTTCCTTCTTGCTTTGTGGCGCTACGAGAATACACGAACACAAGCTTGCCAGCAGAAGACATGACCCAATATCACTCGTCTCAATTCACGAAGACAGAGAAGGACACACGTTCAATTGGGACAATGTTCAAATACTTGCTCACGCAAGAACAAAACGGGAGCGAGAATTTACCGAGGCGTGGTACTCCACACAAAAATCGATCAATAAGCACATCGACATTGACCCAGTCTATCAGCCGTTACGAGCAAAAGAACCACACAGTCACGGGACTCGGAGCCAAGAAACCTAACGGCAACCAATGGATTAATTGGGTCAAGGGAGGACAATCACAAAAAACAGAAGGCCGATGAATCAACCAGTCAAGTGAACAAAACCCACACCACAAAACAAGAAGGAAACGACCAAATCACAGCAGAACAACCACATACAGAACTGCCGAATTGAATGCACCCAACGAACCAACCAGACGCAGGAGACTGAGACCACGTCAGATTCACAGGAGACCAATCTAACTACACGACCACCGTTCCTAGAACTATCTGATACTGTTTAGAAGCTATATAATCACATGCAGAAGAGGAGGAATTCACCCACTCAACCCTGCACTGACGATGTCACCTCGATTGGTGATGAAACGTTTGCAATCCAACTGCCAAGCTTGGCGAACAGATAACTAGGTTCTCCCTAAATGCGCCACAACATCTAAGTAATCCGTACATCATCAGCTAGAAAACCGGAGCTGCCTTGATCCATCTTTTACTATGAAGGCATGACATTCTACCATGTCAGTATATCCCCCAAGCAGACACTCTGTCACGTACACTGCATCCCTGAAACAGTACATCCCCAAGCATTGTGGCCGAAACCACTGTCAACATCCATAAGTTCCCGTATAACCGTTCCTACGAAACTAGAGCGTGCATCTTAGTAATTACTGACTACTTATTAAATCTCAGGCCATGAAACCCCAGGACCTTATGAACTGAATGTCCCACACGAGTTGGTTCTATTGGAAGACAGTGATACGTTGTGTGTGGCCGATCGGGAAAATCGTCGTGTTGTATGTTACTGCGCCGGTCTAACCCCAGAAACAGAACACCTGGCAGGTGAATATCGATACGAGATCCGCGAACCGGGACCCGTGTATGGAGTTGCTGTGAGTCCTGCAGGTAAGCAGCCATCGTGATAGCACCACTTTTGTGTTTCTAGGAATATTTTATTTCAGACTATGTTCTAAAGAGACGCATTCCTTCACGCAGCTAACGCCCTGGTAATCTTGGTGAACCAAAACAATGAACAAGGCTCGGTTGACATTCGTCTGTACGACCTGGACACAAAAGAACGGCTCGGAATACTGGCCGATGAGGACGAGGTAAGCTTCCGTTACAAATCCCTTGCATTAATTTCCCACGAGTTTTCCCAACAAGTGTAACTAGCTAGGATGATCAGGTCTCCCCTTCTATAACAACTTAAACCTGCAATCTACTGTTCTCAGTAGAACTTCCCACCTGTGGCTAAGGTTTGTTTAGATTAGATTGGTTAGGTAAAAAACGTGACCCCTAGATGGAAGTTGTCCATTGTGTAGATATTTCCAATGATCGCATATTTCAAAAGTTAATAACAAAGACTGCATTACAATCTAACCTGTGTGTGACTGAGCTCGGAACTTCTTGAAACCCACCCACTTGAACTCCCATGTTGGTTGGTAATCCTTGAGGATAAACTTCTTCACTAGACATCCGTTTTGTGGATCACGTACTTCATTTTGATACACGAAGTTCAAAAAATATGTGGCACAAAACCGAGAATATCAGTGTAGTTTAATAAATAGAAGTCATTGACAGTACACATTTGACGACCCATGAGTACGCCCCTCACTCCTGACAATCAGCAGCCTGAAATCACCCAAGCATTTTAGCTACTTCCGGTATGTGAGTAGTTAAATTTCAAACTGCCCTTGAAGATCCCGGCTGGTCTCTGTGGGCGTCTTTGGAGTATCGCCTACGGGAGTGAACAGTGCTTCAACAAAAAGTCTGGTCTGTGTCGTTTACATGTTCTGGGATGGTAAAATTTTACAGAATTCTAGATGACTCCATAATGGCTTTACTGTAAAAGCCAGCCGAATATGTTCCTGAACAACCACTATGTACGTATGGGGAAGCACGCGAGTAGTATGTGTTGTTCGTAGAATTTCGCTTTGCGTCTATTGAAAAAGGGAGATCTGTTGCGGAATTCGTGGAGCCACTTTGTAACATTTGCTTGGATTTGACCGACGAATGAGTGGAGTCAATGAATCTCCAGGAAAGTTCAAGGAGAC